TCGTGGCCCTAAGATGGATTTGGGGAACTTGAAGCAAATTGAGGAAAACCTGCTGTGCAGCAGAAACGTAGTCTGTGCGGGCAAGTAGCTCCACAGCTGAATGAATGGGTTTGTCTTCCTTGTGGTTTTCACGCATCCCCAGATGACCTCAGCAGCCTGTGTCTACTTCAAGAGTGCCGTAGCACGTATCGATTCATAATTCATTGTGCTGCTGTTGTCACTGCACACTTCCCTCCTCTTTTTTTATTTTACAGTCCCTGATGTGGCACTATATTAAGGCATGCAGATGCACAACAGAAGATGATATACTAGCATTACAGATACGAAGCCTTATTTAATTAGGTGTTGGAATTCACTCGTGATTTAGGCTTTAATCATCATCATCTTATTAAAATCTGTTGCCATTTCACTCATTTACCACATAAGCAATTAATGAGGTTTTTTCTCCTCCCTCTCACTCGGACTACTGGGATTTTCTTAGTTTAATACCTCTTAGAGATGGGGAAGCATGAGTTTTGTGGAAATGCTGCTGCAGTTTAGGATCGGCGACAGGCAAATGGATTAGCCTGAAATAATTTTAATAAGCAGATTTCTTTTGAAAATTAAGTCTCTTTCATCAAGCAAACATTTTAAGTCTTTACTACTTACAAATATGGAAATATGAGGATTTTCTGATTGTTTCTTTGTAAATTTGAATGTGGAGATTCTGGACCGAGAAAGCAAGTTAAGGACGTATCTCGTGATGGAAAGTTTGCGTGTTCTTACAAATAAAACTATGAATCGATTTGTAAAGAGACGGTCACATTTGTCAACAAATAAGGCATTAAAATGACAAATGCATCCCTAAAATCATGCTCACATAGCTTTTTACGTTGTTTTCTCTAAGTCATAACAAATCAAATCAAATCACTTTTATTGTCACATCACATGTGCAGGTACACTGGTACAGTACATGTGAGTGAAATTCTTGTGTGCGAGCTTCACAAGCAACAGAGGTGTGCAAAGTACAATAGCATAAGAACAAGCAGATATAAGAATGGCTAAATCTGAGAATTATATGAATAAATATATGTACAATATAAGAGTGTATGCATATTACTGAATGTGTATACTAAATATGTATGTCTGTGTGTGTGTGTGTGTGTGTGTATACATATTTTACAAATTAAATAGAGTAAAAATAAAATAAATATATAAAATATACAGAGGTTGGTAGTTGGATATTGTGCAAAGCAAGTGGCATTTATATACAGTATGGAGTGCAACTGTTTAAACTT